TAGCTGCTGCCTCTTCTAATGTGTCATTCCAGTGACAATCATCTTCCAGTAGGCCAAGGAGATTGCACTCTTCCTGATAGGTTCTGCAGACTTGTCCATTCACTGTCTTGAGTGCTGCATATGATGTTGGGCCACGGATGTGGTGCAAAAGTAGTCTCAAACAATAGCATTCAAAGTTGTTGGGGTGAATCGTGTAGACACGTCCCAAAGCATTGCCTGACTTTATCCCTGGATATCCTTCAACATCGGATCCTTGAGCTCTTCTCTGGAACATTTTTCATTGAAGCCTGCCATATGTAGAACTTGGGTACGTCAACATACAGGAGTATTTGAGCAAACTCATCTTCCTATCATTCATCATCACTACATGTAACACCATCCATCTACAGATCGGTAAAGTACTTTTCGAGATTCTCGTGCGGACACACACATAAACAAACAAACACACAGACATACTTCTTTGTTTTATATATATAGATTATTACTATTATTATTATTATTACTATTATTATTATTATTATTATTATTATTATTAGAATTATTATTATTATTATTATTATTATTATTACACACACACACACACACAAAATTAGCCAATCAGCAGCTTTATTCACTTAACTTCACTGTTTCTTTAAGGTGAAATTAAAAAGGTTTAATTAATCATAAGTTGGTGTGTATCGCCAGTAAACATGGCCATTAATATCGTAATATTTCGTTAACCTAGATGTTTACTCGACCGCAGTTAACATGGCTGAGTTAGTGGGTATGACCGTGGGCGTGTGTGGGAGTGGGCGTGTATGGGTGTGGGTGTGTTGGTGTGGGCGTGGGCGTGTTGGATGGGCGTGTGTGAGCGTAGCCGTGTGTGGACGTGGGCGTGTGTTAGTGTGGGTGTGTTATCACTATCATGATCATATTCACCTTCATCATCTCCAACATCTTCATTACCACATCCTAATCATCACCACCCCCAGCGACACCACCACCACCACCTCCACCATCACCTCCACCTCCACCATCAAATCTATTCTATCACCGGGCGGGAGTGGTGGAGGTGGTGGAGGCGGAGATGATGGAGTGGTGGAGGTAATGGAGGTAGAGGTGATAGGGCTCGTTGTGGCGGTGGGGGTGGTGGCGGTGGTGGCAGTGGAGATGGTGGCGGTGGAGATGGTGGCGGTGGTGGCAGTGGAGATGGTGCGGGTCGAAGTGGTGGATGTGGTGGTGGCGGTGGTGTGGGAGTTATTGAATATATCATGTTGACCAAGAGAGGTGTTAATTGTTATGCTGTTGTGAGGTAGGTGGCTTGCCTGTAATTGGTTTCAGCAGTAGCCAAGTCCAACAGATTTTCATTACTGGCACTGGTAAGACCTTGGGGCGAGTCTGGCCCAATTGACCCAGGTGCCCCAGGACTATGGCTGGCCCTGGCCAGATGTTGGCCAGGCGAGATGGTCAGCCAAGTAGATGGTGACTGTTAATATGAAGTCAGCAATACTTCCGGGGAGCAGTGCGAGACTAATGGTGGGGGTGCTGGTAGTGGTGGAGGTGGTGGTAGTGGTGGGGGTGGTGGTAGTGGTGGAGGTGGTGGTAGTGGTGGGGGTGCTGGTAGGTGGTGGTGGGGGTGCTGGTAGTGGTGGAGGTGGTGGTAGTGGTGGAAATGGTAGTGATGGAGATGGTGGTAGTGATGGAGGTGATAGTGGTGGAGGTGGTGGTAGTGGTGGGGGTGTTGATATTGGTGGGGTGGTGGTAGTGGTGGGGGTGATGGTAGTGGTGGGTGGTGTGGTAGTGATGGAGGTGGTCGTGGTGATGGTAGTAGTGGTGGAGGTGATGATACTGGTGGGGATGATGGAGGCGGTAATAGTGGTGGAGGTTGTGAAGTTGGTGGTGGGGGTGGAGCTGGTGGTAGTGGTGGAGGTGGCGGCGGTGGTGGAAGTCGTGGAGGAGGTGGTAGTGGTGGAGGTGGTGATAGTGGTGCAGGTTGTGGAGTTAGTGGTAGTGGTGGTAGTGGTGGTGGTGGTGATAGTTGTGGAGGTGATGGTGGAGGTGATGGTAGTTGTAGAGGTGATGGTAGTGGTGGAGGTGGTGGTATTGATGGAGGTGGCGGAGGTGGTGGAGGTCGTGAGGGTGGTGGTAGTGGTGGAGGTGGTGATAGTGGTGGGGTGGTGGCAGTGCAGGAGGTTGTAGTGATGGAGGTGGTGGTTGTGGGTGATGGCGGTGGTGGCAGTGGTGGAGGAGGAGGAGGTGGTGGCGGTGGTAGTGGGCAGGTGATGGCGGTGGTGGCAGTGGAGGAGGAGGTGGTGGTGGCGGTGGTAGTGGTGCAGGTGATGGCGGTGGTGGCAGTGGAGGAGGAGGAGGTGGTGGCGGTGGTAGTGGTGCAGGTGATGGTGGTGGCAGTGGAGGAGGAGGAGGTGGTGGCGGTGGTGGCGGGCAGGTGGTGGCGGTGGTGGCAGTGGAGGAGGAGGTGGTGGCGGTGGTGAGTGGTGCAGGTGATGGTGGCAGTGGAGGAGGAGGTGGTGGCAGGTGGTAGTGGGGAGGTGGTGGCGGTGGTGGTGGGGCAGGTATGGCGGTGGTAAGGGGGAGGAGGTGGTGGCGGTGGTAGTGGTGCAGGTGATGGTGGCAGTGGAGGAGGAGGAGGTGGTGGTGGTAGTGGGGCAGGTGATGGTGGCAGTGAGGAGGAGGTGGTGGCGGTGGTAGTGGTGCAGGTGATGGCGGTGGTGGCAGGGAGGAGGAGGTGGTGGCGGTGGTAGTGGGGCAGGTGATGGCGGTGGTGGCAGTGGAGGAGGTGGTGGCGGTGGTAGTGGTGCAGGTGATGGTGGCAGTGGAGGAGGTGGTGGTGGCGGTGGTGGTGGGGCAGGTGATGGCGGTGGTGGCAGTGGAGGGAGGAGGTGGTGGCGGTGGTAGTGGTGCAGGTGATAGTGGCAGTGGAGGAGGAGGAGGTGGTGGTGGTGGTGGTGCAGGTGATGGCGTTGGTGGTGGAGGAGGAGGTGGTGGCGGTGGTGGTGGGGCAGGTGATGGCGGTGGTGGCAGTGGAGGAGGTGGCGGTGGTGGTGGTGCAGGTGGTGGTGGCGGTGGAGGAGGAGGAGGAGGTGGTGGCGGTGGTAGTGGTGCAGGTGATGGTGGCAGTGGAGGAGGAGGAGGTAGTGGTGGTAGTGGGGCAGGTGATGGTGGTAGTGGGGCAGGTGATGGTGGCAGTGGAGGAGGAGGTGGTGGCGGTGGAAGCCTAAGTGTGTGGTCGGGGGAGATAACCTGGAGGAAGGTCCCGCCTTAATCACTGCTGATGAAGGGTAAACATCCACGCGGACCAATCAACTACTTATTGAGAACTTCGTCGTCAATTAATTATGTAAATGATGTAGGTGGCAGCGACGGCCCGAGAGGCAAGGGGAAGAATAAGGATAATAATAAACATGATGGTCAATAATGAGAAAAACAATTAATAATAGATATAATGAAAATAATAATAATAATAATAATAATAATAATAATAATAATAATAATAATAATAATAATAATAATAATAATATAAGAGCAGCAGTAACAACAACAAAAAGAAAACAGCAACAAAAATATTAAGAGCAACAAAAGCAACAACAACAACAACAATAACAATGCCTCAACGTAATACCTTCTAACTAGATGCAAATTAGGGAGAACTCGAACATTTTTAGTTTATTTTTTTATACCTGACACTGCCTTTGTTATCCCACCTGTACCTTCTATCTCCTCCTCCTGCTCCTCCTTCAGAACCATCTGTGTATACCTGAAGCTGCATATTCTTGCCTGAACCTTTCATCTGTAGCGAGCCTTTTCATTTTTTGCGTGTGGGCAGAATTAGGTTAAAAATTAAGTTTAGAATCTCCACGACGAAACTTAAGAGATTACGTGTGGCAAAAATACACTAATGTATATGTGTGTGTGTGTGTGTGTGTGTGTGTGTGTGTGTGTGTGTGTGTGTGTGTGTGTGTGTGTGTTCGTGCTACACTGTGGGTGAATGGGAAGGGATGAAATGAAAGAGACTAGAGATAATGAGAGTGTAAGAATGTGTGTGTGTGAGAGAGAGAGAGAGAGAGAGAGAGAGAGAGAGAGAGAGAGAAAGAAAAAGGGGATTATAAAATGAGCTGGAATTAGACAGCAAGAGAGTGACTGAGAATTAATGAGAAAGAGAGAGGGAATAAATTTACCATGAAACTTAAGACTCACTTCACTATCGTCGCCACAGCCCTAAATACCGGCATTATTCCTGACTTTATTAGGGTCGACAAAAGATTCAGTGAGATATAATACTCAGATCCGATTTAAGGCACCAGAGGGGAATTATTTGGTTTATAAACTTTCTTGCTAATCTCATCGTATTTCCTAGGCATAAGAACCACCTAAGATAATATCCCAGCTAGATAGAGTTGTATGTCTTAGCTGCTTTCTAGTATACGTGGCTAAAGATTATAACTGGTGAAACATGGGAATACATGTATCCAATAAACACTGCAGTTGATTCGTTCTCGCATCTTATATCTCTCTCTTACGTCATCAAATATGAACCAATCGCTGCGGTGTTCTTGCGTTACATCACTCCATTGTTGCCCAGTTTTGTCAACATATCATTTTTACGCCGCAGAAACTGATCATCGGTTTTGAGATAAGTTTACTGGGAGTATTGAACTTATCTAATGTTCAATACTTGTTTTTTGTTAACATGTTGTAAGTTCATTTTAAAATAGACCATTTTAGTGATTTGAGGTCATATCCTTTGCCATTCAAGGCAGCATTGGCCGAACCATTTTTAACCATCTGTACTTGTATCACAGTATAAAAATAAACAATACGTTAAAGCGATTTTCAATAGAACAAGAGAATTTCTGAGTATTCCTTCGAGGTATTGTTTCCAAGTTTCGTCCAAACTTTACCTCAGAGAGTGAGAATTATTGATGACGATCAGGGAAGGGGGGCGGGGCAAAACTTACGGGTCGACCACTTCTCACAACTGCAAGGAGTGCAGCTCAAAACACTTAAAGGAAAGGTAGCGGTGATACTGTGGTACAACAATGGTAGTCTGGCACACTGGTGGTTGATGGTGTGGTGGTGGTACGTAGTTGTAGTGCACAGAGGGCGGTGCTTGTGAAGGGTGGCACAGAGAGCGGTGCTTGTGAGGGGTGGCACAGAGAGCTGTGCTTGTGAGAGGTGGCACAGAGAGCGGTGCTTGTGAAGGGTGGCACAGAGGGCGGTGCTTGTGAGAGGTGGCACAGAGGGCGGTGCTTGTGAGAGGTGGCACAGAGGGCGGTGCTTGTGAGAGGTGGAGCAGGGGGCGGTGCTTGTAGAGGTGCAGAGGGCGGTGCTTGTGAGAGGTGGCACAGGGCGGTGCTTGTGAGAGGTGCAGAGGGCAGAGGTGACAGGCGGTGCTTGTGAGAGGTGGCACAGAGGGCGGTGCTTGTGAGAGGCAGAGGTAGAGGTGGTACAGAGGGCGGTGCTTGTGAGAGGTGGTAGAGGGTGGTACAGAGGCGGTGCGGGAGGTGGTACAGAGGCGTGCTTGTGAGAGGTGACACAGGGGCGGTGCTTATCATAACAAAGACACAGCGATACATCCTGTTAGGGACGGGAGCTAACATGTCTGATAGAGTCACACACACACACACACACACACACACACACACACACACACACACACACACACACACACACACACACACACACACACACACACACACACACACACACACACACACACACACACACACACACACACAAATTCCCTTGTTGACAAAAGGCGAGAGTAAAACCACTATCACTATAACTACCACTATTACCACTACTAGCATTACTACTGCTACTAATACCACTATGACTACCACTATTACTACTATTACTACCACTATAACTACCACTATTACCACTTTTTTCTTTTTTTTTATAAAATGGCTTCCATCCTCCCCTAATAGCCTTATCTTCGCCACCATTTTATTACCTTAAAATTAAATATCCTAATACATAAGTAGCTATCCTAGCTGTGTTGAGTTAGTTGAGCCGCAGATCTATGCGGCATTCAGTGACTGTTGCCTCATAGTCAATATCTGCACCTGTTGTCGGCTTTGGGGTCGATGCTCTCGTTCCCCTGAGGCAGAGCAAAGCCGACCTAAGGAGAGAGAAGGACAGTCGACATCACCACTACCACCATCATCACTACCAACACTATTACCACAACCAACACTACCAGCACTATTACTACTACCATCACCACCACCACGGGGAGAGAATTCAGAACGTTGATTAAGGCAGCTTCACTCCTTTGGTGTTCACAACCTCTGGTGGGATGGGACCAAGTGCAAGATGCTTCGACGCCAGACTCGCGGAGGTGCTATCCGAACAGAAGCAACAGCCCAGAAGTTATGTTACAGCCTGGATGAGATGGGTGGTATTAGTGAGGGTGGTGTTGGTGATGGTGGTGATAATAGGGATGGTGGTAGTAGTGGTGGTAATGTTAGAAGTAATAATGGTAGTAAGTGGTGTTGGTAGTTGTTATGGTGGTAGTAGAAGTAGTGCTGGTGGTAGTGTTAGAAGTGGTATAAGTAGTAGTGGTGCTGAAAATGGTAGTAATATTATTATTGTTATTATTATTATTATTATTATTATTATTATTATTATTATTATTATTATTATTATTATTATTATTATTATTACTATTATTATTATTATTATTATTATTATTATTATTATTATTATCCTTCCTCTTGCATTTCAGCCCGTCACTACCACCTACAACATTTACATAAATAATTAACAGAGAAGTAGTAGTAGTATTTTTTTTAATAATGGCCTCTAACCTCCCCTTATAGCCATACCTTCTCCATGATTTTAGTTCATAACAATTCTAATACAGAAGTAACTACCCTAGCTGAGGTAGATGAGGTCCAGATCTATGCAGCCTTTGGTGATTGTTACCTCATAATCTATTTCTGCTACTGCTGTTGATTTAGGGGTCAATGATTTTGTTCCCTGAGGCTTAACAGAGCAGACCTGGGCAGAGAGAAGGATCGGCGACACCTCAACCAGGCCAGAATGTAACTTCTGGGCTGCTGCTCCTTCTTTTCCAATAACGTCTCAGCCAGTCTGGCATTGATGCACAGTGCACTAAGTCCCATCCCTCCTAATGTTGGAACGCCAGTGGAGTGAAATTGCCTTGAACATCTTCTGGATTCTCTTTCCTTATACTCTCTATTCTTGTAATTTTTTATTCTCCAGAGTGCAGCATCTTGAGACAGGTCGCGGTGACATGCGGCCTGGTGACTGAATATTATAATACCAAAGAAGGCATGCTGTCAACTTGTCCAGAATCCTCGAGCACTGAATATTCTTGCCTGAAACTTTCATCTGCAGCGAACCTTTTAATTTTTTGCGTGTGGGCAGAATTAGGTTAAAAATTATGTTAAGAATCTCCACGACGAAACTTAGAGATAAGAATACATTACGTGTGGCAAAAATACACTGAAATGTGTGTGTGTGTGTGTGTGTGTGTGTGGGGGGTTCACATGGGCTTCGTTGGTTGTGGTGAAAGTCTGGTAGAGAAAGTACTTACTATCCAATGGAAGGAGGGTCGGTTCCACAGTGACGTCGCAGCATATTTCCTTCAGTATATTTGTTGTGAGGTTCCATACTTCGTCGTACCTCATGCACACGAAACCCACCGTTTTCCACATCATGGCGTGATCGATGTCGTAGGATGTTCTGCATACCTGATGGGCATACCTTCTACTAGCCAACTGTACCTTAGGGCAATGGTGTCTGAAGCCCTTTGCTCTTATTGGTAATATTGATGGCTAGTTTCAAGTGTCCTCCTTTTGCGTTACACATACTTTTCTCTTCAAATTCTCTGACAGATGTTGCGTCAGTTGTGGAATTATTTTGCTTTGGGTATTCTACCGTTCTGTCTTAATGGAATGTCGGATTTTGCATAATTCTTTGGTGTCTATCTCACTTGCTGCATTTTGAGCTACTATGTGCTTAGTGTATGCTGGCGTGAGCTTAACATAGTTCTGATGTTTAGTGGCTGCCTGCTCCTCTGTGTTAGTGATTCCCATTCCTCTTTGTCTTGGTGATTGCACAAGGAGTGACCTTTCTGTTTGGGTTAGGTGTTAAAATAAAAGAGTTCCTGATGGCTTCTTCTAGAGGATGGAGGCGAGGTCTAATTTCAGGGTCAGTACATATTAGGTAATTCCAAAGATGGTTGATTCCGTGGGTGAGTGCTTCTTAGGCCGCGTGTGGCTCAGTTTTAGCGTTTTCCGACAGAACTTGGATTATTCTACCAAGGTGTCTTTAACCTTCCTTCGTTATTTTGACCTCACTGCCATTGAAGACCTCTGTAGCCCAATCGTAGTATTCTGGCTTTACAACTAGAAATAACTTGCTGGTATTTGGGTGGTATCCTATTTTTGGAGCACATGAGGTTACCATGTTCCACCACCTTTTGATATTCTCCACTTTTCCTACTCCTGTGAAGTCATCAGCATATGCTACCTGTTTAACCTTGTTGTTTCATAATATATTTTATGTATAGGCCTAATGTCTGTCGGGTTCTTATAAGTACTTCCAACATAATTTGTAAAGCTTGGATATTTGTCGTTGATTATGTTGAAAGCGTTGGGGTAGTAGTAATGGTGGTGATTGTTGTAGTAATAGTAGTAGTAGTGGTAGTAGTGGTGGTGGTGATTGTTGTAGTAATAGTAGTAGTAGTGGTAGTAGTGGTGGTGGTAGTGTGACACAGTGCCAAGTGTCGTCAGTGCCCTGTGGACGATGCCAGGAAACAAAAGGTCAGGGAGCTCATTAACAGCATCATGTTTTCCCTAAGCATCTGACGTCCCTTAATAACAACACAATTTAATTTTAATAAGCGAAAATTCTCACGTAATATTTTTTTCAAGAAATTTGAACCTTACATATTTATGAAAGACAAACACTTTATTATTTTACAGATAATAATGGCACAGAGGATTATATGTACATGCTTTTAGTAAGTCATTTTTAAGAAGATAATTCCCAGAGTAATATATATTTTGATCTGTCTGTCTGTCTGTCTGTCTGTCTGTCTCGCATTTATATGAAACAATTTGCATTCAATAAACATATATTTTCCAGGTCTCCAAAAAACGTGCAGATTTACGTAGTCGGTCATAATTAAACACAATGAGCTTTTGTTTATACGATTCTGTCCAATAATAGACGAAAATTAACGCTACCCAGCGAATTAAATTCCTCGCTCTATTAAACCACCTTAATCCTACGAGCTCAGTTTTAATTCCGGGTTTTTCCTATATATCAAGTTTACATTGTGGAATTATTTAAGGAAATTATTAGTAAGGAGACTATTACAGTGTTGTGAAGAGAATTATTAATGATTTAGTTTCGTATTTTTTTTTATCTGTTTATGTATTATATATATATTTTATCAATTGATTTAGCTTTACACTATTATTATTCCATTTATATATTTGTTTATTTCACCACTGCCACCGTAACCATCACTATCACCACAACCACCCCCACCACTACCATCACTACCACCACGTCTATCACCACCACCATCTTCACTATAACCACAACCACCACCACCACCACTACCATCACCATCACTACCACCACGACAATCACCACCACCATCTTCACTATTACCACCACCACCACAATCACTACCAACACCATAACGATCACCACCACCATCACAAACACCACCGCCAACACCACACCCACCATCAATCACAGTTGTAATGTTGACGCGGGAGCTGAATCAACATTAACCTGAGCTGCAAGTGGCGCTCTCTCTCTCTCTCTCTCTCTCTCTCTCTCTCTCTCTCTCTCTCTCTCTCTCTCTCTCTCTCTCTCTCTCTCTCTCTCTCTCTCTCTCTCTCTCTCTCTCTCTCTCTCTCTCTCTCTCTCTCTCTCTCTCTCTCTCCTGTTAGCCATATTCTTGTACCGCACCATATTTCTCTGCCATCACCAATGTAGCGTCATTGTCGTCTTCATCTGTGTTGTCTTCATCTGTGTCGTCTTCATCTGTGTCGTCTTCATCTGTGTCTTCATCTGTGTCGTCTTCATATGTGTCTTCATCTGTGTCGTCTTCATCTGTGTCTTCATCTGTGTCGTCTTCATCTGTGTCGTCTTCATCAGTGTCTTCATCTGTGTCGTCTTCATCAGTGTCTTCATCTGTGTCGTCTTCATCTGTGTCGTCTTCATCTGTGTCGTCTTCATCAGTGTCTTCATCTGTGTCGTCTTCATCAGTGTCTTCATCTGTGTCGTCTTCATCTGTGTCTTCGTCTGTGTCGTCTTCATCAGTGTCTTCATCTGTGTCGTCTTCATCTGTGTCGTCTTCATCTGTGTCGTCTTCATCTGTGTCGTCTTCATCTGTGTCGTCTTCATCTGTGTCGTCTTCATCTGTGTCGTCTTCATCTGTGTCGTCTTTGTCAGTCATCTAGCACACTAAATTAGGGGGCAAATCTGGCTGGTAGGTTAGGTTAGGTTAGGTTAGGTTAGGGTCAGTTGGTCAATTTAGGTTAGGTTAATGGCTCTTCTCGCCAACACATTGTGGCGGGAAAACCATTGCCGACATATGAGCAAGAGTGATCCTGGCTTTTTCCTCTACCCCCTTTGCATCGTTGGCTGTCAGGCAGAAGGCGTCTCCTATCTGCTCATAAGCGTTGCGTGTAACAAACATTACATCACAAACATGCGATTTTCCCCATGATGTTTCTCAAGCACTCACTCCCTCACATTTACTCTATACCCTCCTCCTTCCTTCAAAAGCCTGTGTGTGTGTGGAATCCTTGGACGTTATCTAGCGCTCATTTCTTCCTAGTATCTGGCACCTTACGTACTTTTGTGAGCTCAATAACACGGGATAGTATTATTATTGTGTCTGTTTTGCCATTTCCTACTTTAAATTCTTGTTCATTTTAATATACCTGTCATGACTTGGCCTAACCAGTTGTTTGTAACTTGTATATCTTAGTATTAAGGTTAATTATAAGCTCTTTAACTACCCACTCCATATCTGATATTAAAGAATTATTAACTTTCATTTCGCTGATGCCTAAATTCACTGCGAACACATTGTATTTTTTTTACCAGAGGAAATTTTAGTTAATATCTTACATATTTCACTAAGTATTCCTGGGAAGTCCTGGGGAAACATTAAACTATTGAATATAAATTTCTAAGGTGTGACATTACGTTCAATTCATATTAGGTTAGGTTAGGTTAGGTTAGGTTCCCAATAGACACATTCCTAGATTTTTTACTATCTGATCGACTTGTATATTTGAAAAGAATGTGGGGAAAAATATATAGGTTACCGAGCTTCATTTATTGGTAATACATGTTGAAAATATAGCCGTTTCGTTCATTTGGGGCACATTTGGCTTATATATATACAGTATATATACCCACCAAAAAAAAATTACTCCGCAACAGTAATTTGTAATCAAATACATGTATAAGTCATTTTCACAGTCATTGTATTACAGCTACATCAGTAATATACAGGGTGATACGAAAGTTCTGTTACCCAAATGATATACTCAAATTACATTTATTGCACATAAGTTACAGAGTACATTTACATAATTTACATTTACATTTATTTCATGTTAATTACAGAACACATATACAGATTTTAAGCAACAATAGCAGTTCATGTTTACAATGTTTATAATGATAACCCGTTACGTCTGGGATGTTGGTCCCGCTGAGAACAAAGCACTACTGGCGTTGAGCAGTACCTTACTTTACAGGCGGCACCGGTGAGACACGGTGACACACCAGTAGTACCAACTGTTGGGTGCAAGAAAGGTTCCAACACGTTGTCACTTATTACAAGACACTTTCATGGTGGGTAACGTGACTTTTGACTCACCCTATATATACTCTGCAAAGTGGTCCAGCAAAAGGGAGTTAAGTGATGCAACAACTCCTGGAAAACGAGCAGCATGTGGAGTTGCGCACTGGCAATTACAGTGATTGTCTTTACGTAAGGTTAGGTTACCGTAGGTTAAGTTAAGTTATGTACGGTTAACTTAGGTTAGGTAAATTACGTTAGGTTAGGTCAGGTCATGTTGCGTTATGTTAGATGCTCCAACAGTTGGTGTCAGCGAGAATACTGAGATTAGTTCTCTTTTCTTCCCAGCGAACTCGGAGGATGGAACATAGAATATATTGGTGAAAGTTTTCAATTACCTTGATGTGCCTCTGGTATGTGTCCCACTCCTCGCTGCCATACAGTGGGGTAGGGAGAACCATTCATCGATTATACGTGCATCTTTGTAGATAATTTCAGCTCCCTACAGCTGAAAACCTTAGTACGGAATCTGCCGAAGGTTAGAGATGCACATCTGATCCGATGTTGAATCACTTCATGGCTGTCCGGAGTGGTGGATAGGTGGAAGCTAAGATACAGAAAGTGGGTAACATTAGAGAGGGTCGCACCACTAGCTTGCATGGCTGGTGGAGGAGTGGCTGAACGAGGGGCACGCTGAAAGATAATTCGAGTCTTATGTACATTCACATCAAGGCCGAAGTGTGCATACGCATATGCGTAGGTGTTCAGGATCTCCTGTAAGTCACGTTCAGTGTGAGCAACGAGGGTGAGGTTGTCTGCATACTGAAGTTCAGTGATGGAAGCTGCCGACATCTGTGTTACTGTTTGGATTCGTCGTACATTGAAAAGTACTTTCATCTGGTACTGGATGTCCACCCCGCCGGCTAAATTGGCACTGATACGAGTAAGGAAGCAGCCAAGAAAATAAAAAAGAGAATTGATGCAATTACATATCCTAGGTTTACCACCGTTTAGATGGGGAAGAACTGTGTGTCATTGTGCAGGACAGTGCCGTTCATGCCATAGTGGAGTTATCTAACAATGGCGATGAATTTTGGTGGGCAACTAAAACGAGTGAGGGTCCGCAAGATGGCTTCCCTGTTGACCTAGTCGAAGGCCTTCATAAGGTCGATGAAGGTCATGAACAGGTCACGATGCTGTTCTCTGGACTTTTCCTGTATCTGGCAGGTAGATAAAATCATGTCAGTGGTGCCATGTGATGGTCTAAGGCCACACTAAAATTTTGGCAAGAAGTTTTCCTCCTCAGAACGAAGTCTGTTTAGGAGGACTTGGGCGATAATCTTGCCAGTTATGGGCAGTGGCGAGATCACGCCCCTGTTCTTATAAATAGTGTTGATGGAGGCATGTTTAAGATCTTGGGAGATTTTCTCCTTCCATACATACTATACTACAGGAGAGAGTAGAGATGGCTGGTAAGTAGAGGTCCTCCTGCTTTATACACCTCGGCTGGGAGTCCATCAGGCCCTGTGGCTTTGTTATTTTTCATCTGGTTGATGGCAGTAGCTACTTCATCACGGGGTGGAGGATAGCTGAGGTGGGTCAGCTCTGGGTGCTGAGGGACCTGCTGTGAAGTCAGGACATCCACATCGGTGTTTCGGTTGGGCAGCGATTAGTAGTGCTTTTTCTAGCGCTGACCGATGCCTTTTTCGTCTTAAATTAGGGGAGGGGGGCCTCGCCATGATTAGTTGGGCCATACAATGTTTTATTGAAATTGAAAAATTCACGCATCTTGTGTTGATATGCAAATTATTGTGTTCCATGCACTTTATTTTTCCACCATTCGAGCTTTTTATATTGTGAAGTTCGCGCTTGGTCATCGCTTTCGTTTGGAGGAAGGAATCAGCTTTGGTCTGAGACTAAAGGGTTGTTCAGCAAGTCAGTGAAAGCAGCACGTGTACCATTGACGAGTATGTCGATTTCCTGGTTATTTTTATCAAACCAATCTTGGTATTTTCTTTCGATCCGGCCGAGGGTTTTGCTGCAGGTTTTCTGTGATGGCATCATCGAGGATACTCCATTCGGCACTCGGATTTTGGTTGTTTGTTGTTGGGTTGTTCATCAGCCTTTTGTCGAGCTGCTCTCTAAAAGCATGTTCTACTACTTGATCCTCCAGTCCTTTGATGTTAAAACCTCTTCTGGAGGCTTGTTGCCTTAGCCATTTTGGGGCGACGTGAAGTTGAGAGTTTGACCCACAGAAGCTGATGATCTGTGACACATGGTCTGAACCACGCATGGTTCAGGTGATGAGGACAACTCGGTGATCTCTTTCTCTGAAATTTATGTAGAGTATAAGAAACGAATGCTTACATCATGGGTGTTGCCAAGAACCCTTGAACTTGTTGGCCTGCCTTAACAAGGTACTGGTGATAGTGAGTTTGTGTTCAGTAAACTAGCTGAGTAGGAATAGGCCACTGAGATTACACTTACCCACTACGTTTCTCCCTATGGTTCTCTGCCATAAGTCAGCATTTCTGCCAACTCTGGCAATGAAGTTACCAAGGAGCACAACCTTATCTTTTCTGGGGATAGAGGTTAGTACTCTTGTCAAGGTCGGCGTAAACAGCCTCTTGGATGTTATCCTCTTCATTATGTGTTGGAGCGTATGCACTGATGAAGAAGGCATGATGTGAGTAATTCAGTGGGACTTGGAGCATTATGAGGCGCTCGTTGATCCCAACAGGCATTTCACTTAGCCTATGTAGGATAGTTATGTGACCGGCAAAGCCAACTCCAAAAATGCTGTTTCTCTCCACAACAGGTTTACCCTTCCAGAAGAATGTATACCTGTACCCCTACTCTCGTTCTTTGAGTCAACCCTTGTCTGGGAGCCGGGACTCACTAATGGCTGCTATGTCGATGTTATTCCTAGACATCTCTTTTGCCACTCTCATTTGTGCCAGTATCCAGAATAGTCCTGATATTCCATGTAGTGACCATAATAGGTTGCATAATTTGTTTTTGCACTGATCTGTGATTATGTTTTCGACCGCATTAGGATGACCTTACTGGGTGCAGTTGTCCAGTCAGGTTGTTTTTTTAGGCAGGCTATGCTTAGGGCACCTTTTCTAACCCCCTCCCATTTGGGGTGGGCAGAGTGGCTCCTGGAAAGGGCTGCTCAATCGTGCAGACAGGACCATATTGCACTGGTACCTAGATCACAGTGCATAATCCACCATCTTATCAATTCCGCCCATGTGCAGAGTTGTGACTAGGTAATCCCGGCAGTCCCCTCTGTCTGTTCCCGTCGCCACTCGTCTGTAGCCATACGACTTTTCGGGGTTTAAGGGTTCTTATGATGATAAAAAGTATAATGAGCTGGATGATGGCTCTGCACAAGTTGATTTATGTGTTGAGGCAGGAGTGCAGGCTGTAACCACACATCTTAGCTCTCCCTTTTCCTGACCCAGTGGTGGAGGTAGCTGCAACAATTGGGGAGAAGGAGAGTTACAATGGACTGCCGATAACCCAGTTTGTTGGGTTTTGCCTTAGTAGCCTGTCCATTAGGCATTGCTTTCGTCCGCACGTGTAGTAGTTGGGTTCCTGTGTTGGTCACCTCTTCCGCCTACTCTGCCATTGGG